ACTGGTGATGACAATGCTCAAACCACATTTTTTTTTTCTTTTGAATCACACTCACATATACCCTCCACATGAGTGCATGTTGATCCAACAATTAAAAAAATGCAATAATTTTATCTATGAAGTGAATTTAGTCCTAAATAACCTAACCATGAAATTCACAAAACACAAACCCTTCAATTAGTTGCTTACAATCTAACTTAAGTTTGAATTGAAACACTAAAATTGATCCATGCCAGCTTTCTTGCATATACTTTTCTAACTTGTCAATTACAATAACTTTAGTGGGATAGTCAAAAATGGATTAAAATTCTTATGAAGACAAAAGAAAATTCACTTCACTTAAAATGTTTTTTGGAGGTCATAAGCCAACTTACTGCTTTGGACCAAGTCATCCATTTTTTAGTCGATTCGAAAAGCTTTTAATGGGATGTTTATCTGTGTAGTTGGAGCAGTTTTCAGGTCATGTCACTCTCATTTTCTGTTGTATATTATTACGCAAAAAAAGGAAGCTTCGAATGTACATAGGAAATTTCCTATGTTATTAAAGAAGGGAAGCTATTGAGCTTGTGTAAAGCTAATCTTGTAACCTTTCATTCAATTCACGTTGAACCAGTCAAATTTATAAGTTCAATAGTGTTGTGGATAGAAAATTTTAATTGTTGGGCTAACGTATATTTTGCAATAGATGGATTAGATTGACATTTTCTTTTAATAAATATACATAATTTCATAGTAAAATGTTATATTTAAAAAATTAATATAAAAGAAAATATGGTTCGCAATAAATATGAAAGTACATTTGAATTGTGTTAAAAGTTCTTGAAATTGCGCAAAAATCTTTATTTATCAAGTATAACAAGCTCAAACAAAACGAGTTGACTCAAGCTCACGACTATTTATTTTCATTTGATAGCTCTACTTGTGTGTGTATGTGTGCGGGGGAGTATATACATTTTCATATACTGAAAGATAATATAAATAAAAATAGGCTAATTGCAAGAAAAAATTATGACATTTTTGTAAATTGATATTAAATTAATCCTTTTTTAGTTAAACTAAACTTTTTTGAGTTGATACATTAATGCACGACTTTTTAATTTTTATTTTTACAATTTCGGATATCTGAAGTGGACTACATATATGTAATCGTGGATTTTCATATATATTTATAGATTATGGTATGTATATATAATTTTGTTATTTATGACATCTCAAATCTCAATCTATCTAATATGAGAGGGGGAGAGATTTCAATGGGAAAGACTTGGGACAAAGTCAATGGGATGTCACTATGTACTGATAAGAGACCAATAAGTTGTCGCAGGTCATCCACCACTACCTCTACTGCCACACAAACTATATTCATATATCTTCTTTATCACTAATTTTTATATTTTATTTCAAATGGTTTATTTTTACAATTAATTATTGAATCTTTTTCTTCTTGAAGAATATATAATTTAAAATTGCTAGTATNGTCACACAATTTTATAAATATTTACGTTCTATTATTGTGTTTGATTGAAACAAGTAATGCCTTGAAAATGATTGTGGCCCGGTATGGCGCGGTACTTCATCAATTTTTTAGATGGGATATAAGACTTAAATTTTTCACAAATATCATTTATGTTTTTAAATAAATTTTAATTATCTTTACCATTTTTTCTGCACTTTTCTGTGGGCAAAAAGTGTAAACGAACCGAGTCG